GTTGCCGAACCTACTGATCGGGTGGTGGCAGTGTGCCGGAGGCCTGGAATCTTACATCTGCTCAATGCAGACGAATCTTTTCCTAGATAAAAACCTATATTTCGATTGGGCCGCACTGTTGTTCAGTGGATCTACGCCCCGCTATAATCATAATAATAATAACAATAATGATGATGATGATGATGATAGTAATAACAATGATAATGATAATAATAATAATAATAATAATAACGATAATGATAATGATAATAATACTACTACTACTACTACTACTACTACTACTAATAATAATAATAATAATAATAATGATGATAATAATAATAATAATAATAATGATAACGATAATGATAAGGATGATGATTATAGTCATTTAATCTTTGCTTTAAAAAATCGCACATCCAAGGACTTTTTCTATAAAACAAACAGTAAATATAGACAAATAGATCCATTCAGAAATAAGGACACGGTATGCTGTATAAAATATACTTCGCACTGACCAAGAGTATGACGAGCGCGGGACCAGTGAAAGCCCATATAAGGCCGTTTTCGGTGGAGAGCCAGCAGCTGTAATCAGAAATGCGGAATTACTTCACTGGAAGGGAAACAGACAATGATAATAGTCACGAAACTTTATGGGTGATGAAAGATGGGGATGATTAGGATGGAACAATATAGAAATGAACTTACTAATAGTTATCAACAACAATAATGATTATAATAATACTGATATGATGTTAATGATAAAGGCATTGGTCATTGTGATAGTAATGGTAGCCTTGATAATAATGAGAAGGATAACGATGGTAAGGACGCTGACCAGAGTAAGAATAAGAACAAGAGAGAGAGAGAGAGAGAGAGAGAGAGAGAGATAGATAGAGAGAGAGAGAGAGAGAGAGAGAGAGATAGATAGATAGATAGATAGAGAGAGAGAGAGAGAGAGATAGATAGATAGAGAGAGAGAGAGAGAAAGAAAGGTTCCCACTTACTAATCCTCTGTCCCGTAGCCCTCCGAATCCACGGCTGCGGAGACGGCGACAACAAGCGCCGGGGCTGTGTAGGCGACCACTGTGTAGTAACGCAAGGGCGAGCGCGCCGTCAGGAACACCTGGGGAAGGGAAATTGTGGATTGAAAGAAACAGGGTACGTAGGACCAGCTAAATGAATCTGACGGCTGTTGATGGTGAGGAACTCTTAGTTATCATAAATAAAAGGGGAAATTTTTGGTTTTATTTCTGGTAAGTGTAACAATATCGATTATCAACTAATTATGTAACTAACCATTTCTGCTAACTCACGGCGCAATCTCATTGGGTAAACATGGTGACGTCATTAGCTCCGTCCCCCTTTTTAACCCCCAACAATTTGTGAAATATTTTATGGTAAGTCTTATTTCGATACATTTTCTTCAGAAATAATAATGGTAGAAAATGATCAAAAACGAAACCAAAAAAAGAAAATGAAAAAACATGAATATTTATTTACAATGGTCAGAAGTTGCCAACTAGGATTTTCATCAAGATGGAGTGATTATACCTGTGTAAAAATACCTGGGAGAGAACACCGGGCGAAGAAAGAAAATACAAGAGAGAAGGAGGGCAGTAAAGGAGAAAGAGAGAGAAAATGGTGAGGGAGGGAAGGACAGGGAAAGAGAGAGAGAGAAAAAAAAAGGAGAGGGAGGGAGGAAGAGAGAAAACGGGGAGAGGGAAGTAAAAGGAACCGTGTGACAGGATTATATGATCTCTAGACTTAGCCTGCGATAAATTATATATTCTAATCAGTGAGTATAGTCTGTTTAATTCCCTTCGCAGCGTCAACTGGGCTCTGCGGAAAATAGAATATGTCTTAATGTCTTGCCTTGTTGAACTACCCGCTTTCATTCGTCGTTTTGTCTCCAGACTCACTTTGACAACAAGGAAGTAGACATTGACGCCTTCGACTCCCATCCAGCAGAAGGTAGCGAGGAGGAAGTAATGGAGGAATCCCGCGACCACTCCGCACCCCACCTCGTCCTCCGTCCTGTCCAGGCCCACCAGGAGGATCAGCTGAAGGGGGGAGGGGAGATATGGGGTGAAAAAAAGGTCGATTAAGAATGGAAAGGCTTAAGTTATAATAATGATAAATATGTCTTGACGGAGGAAAAGATAATCAGGTTTACGATAATAATGGTATTCGGTAGCCTACCACACCGCCAGAGAGATAGAGTAGGATATAATTATACCTTTTAAGAGCGGAGTATCCCAATAATAGCAGTGGTAATAATTAGGGTATTTGGCCTTTTATGACGCGCGTGTGCAAATTGAACCAACCTCGGCCACAAAGAGACAACAGCAGAGGTGGAGGTGAATGATAATGGTCGTCTTGTTGCGTCTCCGCTTGTGCAGAAGGAGGCTCAGGGTGACGATGGCGAGAACCAGACACACGAGCGATATGGAGCAGCCCACCACCGTGAACCACTGCAGGAACGGACTCTGGTGGCAGGGGGGGACGGGAACAGTAGTGT